TGCCATTTTAAAGTGAACAGAGATAAACTTGCGTTGACTAATCGTCAATGGACGTGTAAAAAAGGCAAAAGATTGACGATTACCGCCAACTTTTAGGAGCGAAATTTAGGCTGCAAAGAAAAAATCCTGACTGGGCCATATCGTAAAAAGCTGGGCCGGTCACGTGCGTATGATTAGCCAATCAAATTCGCGGATATAGGAATCCGGCCCACTCAGATGCTTGATAAAAAAATAAATGACTGTATTTGTTAAATACAATTAGGCTCTCTTTGAAGTCCTCAGTCATGTAATCAAATTGAATTTACCCCCCCCCCCCCCCTTCCCATTTTTTCCAAAAAAAGCATAATATTTCTAAGGCCTAAATTAGGAGAATGAGGCATTACTCCATTGGTTGAAACTTCAATAATTAAAACTAAATCTGGTTCAATCAGGGGGATTGGTAGGAGTAAACATGAAATTTGAATGTTTGGACTCCTGATACTAAAGTAGGGATAGAAATTAGCCCAGTCATTAATGGGGTCAGAGAAGCCACTTACTGAGGTGGCTAGTATTGTCAAAATTAAGTTTCCATCAATCTCCAATTATGTGGTAAACAGTAAGTATTCTTGAGGTCATGTCTCATCAGAATTCCACTTCATCAGAATTTACAACAAATTATAATGAATCCTGCATTCATATGGACTCCTTGCTTCTTTGTTAGTATAATCAATATTCGATTCTGCAGGAGGTGCCTTATCTCAAGTGTGTTTTGACAAATGACTTTTTTCATTTACAGGTTCCTGCCTTGGCAGTTTCTCTTGCATTAGAGAAAAAAGTAAGTGAGCTGGATAATTGATTGAAATTTTACATTTCAGCCTTATTTTAACCATCCTAATATTGATGAAGACCTGTGATAATCATGCATTAAGTGAGATAAATACCATCTTTTTTACTCAGACAATGGAGACTAAAGCACCTTGCAGAAGAATTAGAACAAAGACTTCCACCTTTACTACTGTAGTTTGAGCAGCAAATGTTTGCAATTATAATGATACTCCAAAACATATTGGAATATGAAGACTATGGATGTATATCTTTAATTAAATTCAGATTTTTTAAGTCAGATTGATCAGAGCAGTGATTGCATGGGTTTGTCACACTTAAGGATGGTGCCTACTTTTGTTAGTGCACACATGTTTTGTGCATCACGCAAGGCAGGTTTAAG